TTTTATCAAACATCAAACATCCTGTAAATATGCCTTTATTAGCTGGAAAAATTAACTATAACCCCCAAGTTAGTCACAACACAACCAACAACCGGAAATTCCTTAAGGCTTAGCTGGGTCTACTGTCCTTCCACAATTCTACGCCTTGTCTGTACCTACATAATTTTCTGTACAGAGAGGCAAGTATGCCATTCTGTGAGTTTCTTTGTGTCATACGATAATGTTTACTGTACGTTTGACCGTAGAAGACTAGTAGTAAGAAACATACATATAAATGTATCGTGCACACACATGACCACATGGAATACAAGGTGCGTTCGAAAGTAATAAGGACTTAAAAAAACACAAAAATCGTTTTTTCGGCAAAATAAATTTATTTTATTCAAAATAGTCTCCCTCTGCATATATACATGCACAAAATCATGTCGAACGAGTGGCCTCTACATCTGCATAACGCCTTCCTTTCGTGCTCAAATGCATTTTTCCAAAAAGGAAGAAGTCGCAGGGTGTCATATCAGGTGAATACGGGGAGTGGTTAATGGTTAAAATGCGATTTTTGGTCAAATAATCGGTCAAAATAATGTCCTTCGAATGTTGGATTCAGAGCAATTTTTGGTTGTCAGTTCACGCATAGTTTCGATGGAATTTCCGGTGATCACGAATTAGGATTGGCCCACATGTTGATCGTCATTTATGTCCTCACAACCACTTTGAAAACGTTGAAACTCGTGCACTCTGCTACAGTTTCGGTAAAAATTTTACCAATTTTAAAACAAAAATTTAATGTTGGCTCTTTGTTCGAAGCTCATTTTCGCACCGATAGCACAAACATAATGACACTTAAAACGCAATAACTTCACTTCCAATCAATGAAATGTAATGAAATTCTTACTGGAAAATCTGTAAAGATAACAGCTTCTAACGCACCAGTCGATATATAGATGGCGAAGCCAGGGGGAGGTAGATTCCTGTTTACTTTGCAGTTATGCTGCATATGGTTTTAAGTAAACATTATGTGGTACTAAGTTCGTGAGAAAAGTAATATACATACATATACATATGCACACAAATTTGTGAAAAGAATTTGGTTACTTTATGCACTTGCTCTGCAATTAGCATATGCTCTGTTTTTGGCTATTTCTGAATCATAAAAAATATTTAACAAAAAGTAGTTTTAGTAACAATAGCACATACAAATAAATAAACAAGCGGAAAAGCGCCTAGGAAGGCAAGTATGCTTACTTAGATGACTAAAAATTTAAAATGCGTCATTGTTATGCAAAACATCAACAGAGCATAAAGCAACCGGAGTCATTATTCACACGAAGAATTACAGTTTGAAGGGATGCGAAAGCGTTGTTTCTAACCGGGTATACGCGACTATTTCAAAATACTTCATATGTTGTCATGCGGTAAAAGTTAACTGCATGAAACCGCTTTCGTGAAGGATGTGAAATGTGCATATATGCAAGCCATATATTTCATAAAATAAAGTGCAAGAAGAAAAAAATATGTGTCTGCTTTTGTAAGAAATAAATTGTGGTAAAAAATTACTTTAGAACTTTCCTATCCCATATAGAACAAACAAAACACTAACGTTAACTAAATTGAATGTAAAATAATCTGTACCTATGATACTATATAGTCAAGTTAAACAATTTTCCATGCAAGGACTTGAGTTTGATCGGTTGTATGACAGATATGTTTGCGCTACGGTTGTCCGATATCGGCGGTTTTACAAATAAGTATTTGCTGGGTGAGAAAAGGACGAGTGCAAAACTTCAGATCGATTTTTCGAAAACTGAGAGTCTAGTATGCGTATATACAAAAGGACCGACTGACAGCTTGGCTAATTTGACTCTGCTTATTTCGCAGATCATTTATATATAGAGCTTTTCAATAGGGACCTTACAAAAGTAGACCGACCGGACAACAAACGACGCCATATTTCCGCCCCTATTTTCACATTTCTCTTCAGTAAGATTTGTCGTTTCGTCACAAAAGGAAAGATCCAACAACGAGTCGAAATTATAAAAATTTAAAATAGAAATATGATATTTGAAATGTATTTACTACCGTAATTCGGCGTCAATGGCCTTCATTTTAAAGCGCTACATCCAATTTATGGTCGTCATAATAGACCTGTCTGATCAACAATTGAGCATCTAGTGAAAAAATTTTAATCCAGAGGCACAGTACAAAATGTTCATTGAAGAAGTCCCAAATTAGTCGCTAACACGTTGTTCTCAAGCGTTGAACATCTCTGTGATGTTGTGGCGAAATTTGGAAGAGATCTTGCCCTACAATCTTGCAAGATCAAATTGACGCAAGAACTAAAGCCGCTTGACTTGAATTGGGCTGAACAACAACTCATTGCGCCGTAATTCCTCCATGATGATCAAGACGTTATTGTGAATGAGAATAGCTATCGCTCAATGATAACTGAATATTTTTGGCCCGAATTGGACGATATGGACTTGGAAAATATGTGGTTCCAAAAGGGCGGCACCACAAGCCAAACAGCGATTTATTGAAAACCAAGTTTGATGAAAGTGTTATCTCACGAAATGGCCCAGTCAATTGCCCGCCTTAGTCGGGTGACGCCGTTAGACTATTTTATGTGGGGCCACGTCAAATCTGTTGTCAATGCTTGAAAACTATGTAAGATTGGATTAAGCTCGTGGTGGCCATGTAGAGCTTTTGTAGCTCTCTTATTTAAAGCACCTTTAGTGTATATAGGTCTACGCCTTTTGCTCTGTTTTACTTAATATGAACAACTTAAACCTGTCCTGGGTATAAAAGTATTATGCTGCTAAAATTTGTCATATCCAAAATACTAAAAGAAATCGATTATGAATACCTTTCTCTAAACACGTCTGGACAATGAACTTTACTTTTATAAATGATTCTTAAATTTATTAAAGTTTTTTGAATATTGACACTTAAGCCATTTGGATGAAAAATATTAGTTATGAAAATACTTTACTATTGACAAAAATAATTACTTTAAATAAAATATTATATTTTAAACACCGTTTTCAGTGCAACTTTTCTATGAAAATATTTAAGAACGTATAGATATGTAAATTTTAAAAAATGTTAAGCACTGTGAATATAAAATTAGCAAATGCACGAGCACGAATAGAATATTCATATTATAATTTTACTAATGTTGAATTAGAAATTTCCATATTTATCAATGCCCAGCCAGCTTTTGCTAATTATGAACATTCTTGTGCCAGGTATGCGGATCTAGCTGATTTAACCAAATTTTCAAAAATACATACAAATGCATTGAATTTGGTTTCAACCAGCAGGTAAATCTTCAATGGATTTCAGAAAATACCTATTCTATAAAATACTGAATGAATTTAATTTGAGGTTTAGTGGCATACGAGTTTTAAATTTGACTGTAGGGAACAACCGATTGTGCATATCTAAATTTGCAGAGCAGACTTGCAAATGGCGGTGTTAAGCGCATTGAGGTGGGAAAAGCGACTAATTGGCCGGAGGTGATCACATAAATTAGACACACATAATCACAGCGTTGATAATCAGCCACATCACCTTCATGCTGCATGCAATACCGAATTACGCTGATTGTCATATATAGGTGGGAGGAATTTTGAAGTTAGATCCATTATCCTTTTGAAGAAGGTGAATATTAAGATGATGTAAATATGGTAATGTAGAAAAACGTATAAGTGATACTATGTACCATAAATCAATACATATATATATTTTGTAATTTTGAAGGATTTTAATGTGAATAAGTAAGTAGGGGCTAAGTTCGGGTGCGAACGCACATTTTATACTCTTGCAACTTCAAACGCCAGGGAAATACGTTAAGGTGCAAAACGTCAACAAGGATCGGAATCTAAGCAATTTTAGTTATATGTATATACGTATACTATATATAGAAATATGGGGCTCAGGGAAGTAATTCACCCAATTTTGCCCATTTGCGATGCACGGATGCACAGACTTTTGTCTGAATAGGTTTCTGTATGAATTTCAGTCTTCTACCTCATACATTGACCGATATTCAAAAGTCAACTATAGATGCTGGGTCCATATATATTCGGTACCTAGGGTCTTGAACAGTTTTGATTGGACTTAGGCAATTTTAGTGTCATAAGGCGGCATATGTACTATTAGTGAAAATTTGTATCCCGTTATATTGATTACTTCATAATCTGTGTACTGGAAAGTGAATCAAGTGGAATTTAAAATTGTGCTACATGAGAAGTATGTATATAGGCGTGGTTGTTGTTCGATTTCGTCCACTTTCGCACTGTGGCATAAAAATAAAAGAAGTTTGGTTGGGTCCCGAGATATGGGATTGTTCAACTATTAATCCGGCTCCCACAATGCCCTCTTATACCATCTCGGTGGTAAAATTGGCCGGATTTAATTATTTATCTAACTATCTATGACGCCTTAAGTAGTGGTTAGTTAACAGTCGCCATATGGAGGGAGGCCGGGGTTATCATCTGATTTCATCCATTTCCACACTGTCGCTAAATTGGGTTGTTGTAGCTTAAATGGTTTGGGAGATATTTACTTTGAACTTATTACACCCACTTTTTCAAAGTTTTTTGCCCACAGGTGCCCCTTACTATTGCGAATCCCTGTGTTAAATTAGAGCTTCCTATCTTAATTTAGTGCCTAATTATAGCACTTTTTAGGTTTTCGATTAATGACGTTATATAAATGTTAAGGAAAAACCCTTATAAAAAATAAAATCGAAAAAATGTTCAATTTTCAATAAAAAAATTCTCACGTCAAAATATAAGAGTTTTTTAAAACGTCGGTAAGTTTAAAGTTTGTTGAAAACCAAAATTAGTGTTTTTGTAGCGTAAAGCTGTCACACAAATATAGCAGCCATTGTACTTTTTATACCGGCATTTGACAAAAATAAATGGTATATACTTTTTTTTCTCAACTTTTCTAACTAACACTCAAACATTCACACTCACCTGAAGAACAGAAGCTGACAATGAGAATGAACAGCAGCCATACACTGCTTTTAATACACAAATTCAATTTTGATGGTACTTTACAGCAGTTGTATTTCTCGTAGTGTTATGTGTTGCCGAAAAGCAAACCTTTGAATTTTTCTAAACGCCATTCTTTGACTGTTTGTTTCTTGATTTTGTGTCTGTATGGATTTATTGGACTGCAAATGTCGATTGTTATTACTATTATTGTTGTTATTGCTATCGGAGATGAAGTTATAGTGAATTTGGAAATGTGGTTATTAGCATTCTGGGTCAAACCACGTCAAGTGGTCCACGAAAATTTTACAAAATCACCGATTTGGAAAATCAGCAGTTCATTAGGAAGGGGATATTAAGAGGGGTGTGGGCACAAAAAACTCAATATCTTTAGAATGATATGATATGCAATAAATGTTTTTGCTGATTATTAAAGGTAAATATTTTGCGCGTTTTGTCATATTCTTATCAGTTTTTTTTTTTAGTGTAAAGAACACATGAAAAATTTAAATTTAACAAAGTATTATGTAAAATATTATTATTTAAACAAGTGGATAGTGAAAAAATATCTATAATGTAGCACGAACAAGTTTCTTTGACTTCACAAAATTTCGTCGATTTATCTCCAGTAGTTTATGAGAAAATAATTTTACAATTTTATCAATAAGTTTAACATAAAAAGAATTTAGATGAAATATCAAGGGGTATGTGTCTGGTCTCCTTCGTAATGAACTGCTAATTTTCAAAATTAGTGATTTTGCTACGCTTTCGTGGACCACTTGACGTGGTTTGACCCTTCTATTAGATTTTTGATTCAATGATCAACAATGTTTTCTCACCACAAAATTAAATAAAAAAATTAAGGTCGAAATTTTGGTAATTTTTTTTTTTTTTTTTTTTTAATATTTCGAGTACTCACTAGAATTTACATTGTTTTGACGAACTTCGCTTTTTTCGGCCTTCAAACTGTATATAACCCCTAGAGCCATTTGGTTTCGTCAACACACATCTCACAACAACAGCGTTTCGTATGCCACACCAGCCTGTTTGCGCAGGAACGGCATCTTCCGGCATATTAACGAATGCTACTCGAAGGCACACACACTCGGCAGGACGGCGCTCAGCTAAAAAAGCATGCGCATAAGTGCATTCTGTTGACTATGTGTGAGCATGACCGACTCACAAGATTCCTTGTGAATCAATAATTGGCACTTTATTATTAACACAACTGCACTATAAATCTGCACAGTTACAATCACAAACTGATATTTAGAGATATCAAGACCTTCTCTTGCTTTTTTTTATTTATGACTTTTTATTATGGATTGTATTCACCAAAGCTTGATATTGTATTTCCATTTCACATCATATTTTCACATAAAAACAACGCATTTTCATAAGAAGCCGCACACATACTTGATCATACATTTAATTCGCAATTTAATATTTGCCGCTTTATGCCCTTGCATTTGGGAACACGCCGCAAAACATTTTCATTATATGTATACCAACTGCGGCAAGGTTTAAATTTATAGCTTTATATTTCCAATTAATTAAATTATTAAATTTCCTTAACACACGAACAAAAAAAAAATTCACTATTAAACCGTTAGTTATCACAACTTCCAATTGCATATGTGTTTCGCCTTGCAAAGCACAACGAATTCTATTCACCATGAGCGCAATATAGAAGACCGGAGCTCCAGCAAGCGCTACCTTTACTGCTCAATAATTAATCTAAGAAACTCAACACAGAGCATTAAACTCAAAGCGAAATATACTCAATGCACTAGGGAAAGGGCATGACAACCACTAAAGTTGAGTGAAGATAAATTTTTTTGCGTTATTTATTTTTAATAGAGGGGAAAATTATATGTGTGGAATCCTGAAAGTTTTGGGTGGTTGTGGTATTGAGAATAACAGATGTCATAAATTTATACCTCTTTAATATATTTTGTGTGATTATTATTATTTTTTCATTTATTTTTTTACTTATACATTTTTATTTACGTTCTCTCTTCCAAACGACATATTCATATAATTCGGCTATAATATGTAATATGTATGTATGTATATGAGAGTACACAGTTGCGCACTATTGCAAGCGATAGCAACAGGTGTCGTTCATCGAAGTTCACCATTGCAACCAATTTAAAGAATGTGGCTATAAACGTGGTGATCAAATTATTTTAAATTGCAATAAAAAGGGGACAATATGTAGTTTTAAAGTACTCATGTACTCTTCAATTGCTGTGTTTTTAAATTTTTTTGTAAATAGTTGCCTCCATAGGAAATAGTTCTTGGTACATAGTACAACATATCGAAATTTGTAACATACTGAAGAAAGTTACTATTGAATTAACAGCTAGCAGTTGTTTCTAGCAGCTCAGAACATAAAGATAGACTAAAAGCTCTCTGAGAAGGTTGGTATGGCTGATAGGAGGGATCGGACCATTTAGACACTCATAAACGCTTTAAACCAAAATCTTTAAGAGGGTATTCTGGTTTAGAAACCCGAATTTTATGTATTTTTTTCACGTGATACACAAAAAAAAAAAAAAACAAATATTATTTCCAATCCATTAGTATCAAATTTTTTGCATGCTTTTTACTGATATTCTAAGAATACAAAACATAAATAATATACGAAAAAAAATTTAATTTAAAAAAAAAAAACTGTAGGTCGGCGAAGTAGAGGCTGATGAAACAATGAGTTGTCCTGGTGTGCAGGATATAAATCCTTTCCGTGACCTGAAATGGAAATTTGTGAGAAATCCGTGAAGAGTAAAAGTGTAGTTATCGCATACGAAACGTTTTTGAAAAAAAAAATTTCAAAAATGGTGGAGGTTTGAAAAAAAGTTTCGTATTTTCCCTGTTTTTTTGTGGTTCGGAATTAAAAAAAAAAAAAAATCGAAAGCTCCTTGTAGCGCGATACTATGACGTTTAAGAAAGCTCTGTGTAAAATTTCATGTGAATCGGTTGAGTAGAAATTGAGATATTATGCACACCGTTTCTAGAAAAGTAGTTATGAGAAAAACGAGTTTAAAGTTATCACCGGCTGCGAAACAGTTTTGTCAGCGCGTCACAAAATGAGCTATAACTCGGAAAATAACTTGAATTTCGAAAAATTTTCCTAGTTACATTTTCTTGAAGGGTTATACTATAGAGTCAAAAGCCTTTTGGATAATGACAACGTCGTGTGACGTTTGAATCCCAAAGGTGAACTTGACCGCTGCCATTGGGGGAGAAGCAAAAATCAAAAGACAACAAGTTACCTAGTACTGCATCGGAAACGTTGAAGAACTGCGATATAGACTTATACCCCATAATTCATTTATTATACCCCATAATTCATTTATTTACTCGCTTCTTGTGACGAGTTTGAGCTCTGCACGCTTTTTTCGATGGTTCGCCGCATAAAAACGTGGCTGAGAACAAACATGCTTCAAAATATATTGATCGGCCCGACATTGCTGCATACGCATTACGACATTGAAGTCACTGCAGAATAAGTTATCAAAAGATTATCAAAACTTCGCCCACATCGTCTTGTTTTATAAAATTTTTCTATTCAATACACAAACCGACTACATTATTATACATTGCAATAAAGTATGTCACCCGCACGTCTACGATTTTTAATGTGGTTTTTCCATTTTGTAATGTCGGTTGGTCGGCCATTTCAAAGGTCGGTTTGAAATTTTTCAACCATGATATCAAACAGTAAAAATATAATAATCTTCATGTATACAGTAATAGAAGGCTATTCCGGAAATTGACTTTAACTACTGTTGCGAAAATTGGAAAAAACGTTAGCACAAGTGTATTGGGACGAAGGCAGATTGCTTTGAAGGGGGCGACATAAATTTTGAAGAATAAATTAAGAATTTCAAAGTTATGAACAAAGTCTTATTCGTTTCATTTCTCATAGTAGTATTCGCGAACTAGTTTCTTAGATTTTTAGATGTGCAATTTTGCACACATCCTTTTCTCTTTAAGAAGTTGCTTATTCATCTTCACCGCCGATAGCCGATATCATGACAGTACGTCAACTATAGTATAAACTGAATGGTCCAAATTAACTTCTTGAAAGAAGAAACTCTTCATTTTTTTCTTTACGAAATTAAACATTGCATTGCTGCAATATCTAAGGAAATTTTTAAGATCAGCCACTATATCATGTAGCTGCCATTTAAGCTGAATCAAGCTCCTTATGGATTTTTTTTTTTTATCAATGGTATTACAGCTTCGGTGCAGCCGAAGTTAACGTTTTTTCTCATTTTAAACCTACTACTTATTCCTCTGTTTTGGGTTAGAGATATATTTGAAATATGGGGACATAATAAAGCTTACACTAAAGAATTTGATTAATAATGGTTGCGAATTATTATTTAATAAATTCGAAAATGTCAGTGTTCTGTTAGTTGTTGGTTTAAAATACTTATTCTACATCTAAGCGTCAAAAAACCTCTCACCTGAACATTTTAGAACTCCTATATGTTGATCATAAAAAATACTTACTTTATTTTGATATTTGTACAAATGACTTTAACCTATTCTTCACTAACAGTGATAATTCATTTCTAAATCATTGCTAAATAATAAATTATTCAGGTTGAATTGTTTTCACACGTGTCCCTAGGTAACATGTGTGTACACAAGCAACACAGTAATACTTGTACATTTCATTGCTTTACTTAGCCGTAAGTGCAATTTGTTGTATTTGTTATTAATGAAATCACATCAATTTGTTCCATGGGGAATTGGCACAGACAAGTTTACTTCCGATACATTTAGGTATATGCGTGTACATATACACTCAATCACTCATTTATTCTGGATTTTTTTTTATAAATACAGCAGTGAACTTTAATTTCAGAGCAAACAAATAGTATAGACTATAATGGAAGAAAGCTTGGGTAAAATTTAAATATCATTTAAAATAAAACTTGTTATTTTGAACAATTTTAAATAGCTCAAGTGCAAGCAAACTTATGCAGCCACACGGTTTTCTTCGGCGCTTGATGGTATTTATCTACATCTTACACATTGTAGGCGACTGAATATAATCAATGCAATCTTAGAAGATCTAGTTTTGGAAAACTAACCCTCACTTACTTTATTTCTTCGACCGGTAAGAGCATAGGTTGTAGGCTAGTTGAGTAATTGCTTTATTTACTCTAAAATTATACCGAAACAATTATGTATTTACAAATGCAGATAATATTACTCATACGCAAGGTATACCAACATATTATATTATAATATTTATTATGTATCTAATTTCTAAATATTAAATGATGCTATATTAAAGGGAAATGGTGATAACTGTTCCCATAATAAATTATACCTTCTGGTTGAAATAGAAAGTCATATTAGTAAAATACTTCTTCGGATAATCGAACCATTATTATTCATAAGCACACGCGATTCGGTTTATGTAGTTATGCGAGCGGTTTCCGCACCCAGCCACATGTGGCTATGGCGTCAAAGCTGCAATCATGTCATTCCAAATACATTGATATAAATTAGCTCGCTTGGCGTTTTTCAAGCTATACCACAGCTTACAATTAACTGATGCTTAGCATTAATTGAGAGTACATTGCTTAATATAATTTGCCTCTCCATATTCGGTAATAGGTGTGTCACTAAAACAATATAATATTAATATTACTTAGTCACGTAGGTAATTTATTGATTCGTAGGTGTATGTTGCAATTATTGTACGAACTATCAAACTAAGGGTGGAAAACAGCTAATAAAGGAAGATTCGTTTTGGATTTTGAAAATTAATTAATCTGATTTCAAACCGTTCTAATTTCTAACAAAATTTCGGATATAATAAGCGAAATAAGGTTGATACCTTAAACATAACCACTGAAGCTTATATCTGTTATAAACAACATCCGATAATTTTTTTCCCCCTTTTTCTTCATGAATCCAATATACTACATTCTTTGTTTGAGTATATGTCATATACATCCAATATGTTGATTTTAAAATAAGTACTTGGGAAGCAGAATATAATAATTAGGAAACTTAGTGAGTATATGAATTATAATATAACATAAGTTAATAAGACACCAAATTTGATTTTAATCCATTCAATTTCTTCGAAAAATGCATGTTGAATTCTTACGCAACATTTTTATTTTCTCGCAACATGTTGCTCTAGACTATAATAGCAGAGAACATACAAGCAGAGCAGAGAGTATCCTCATAATAATTTATATTTTAGTACAGTTAACATTTGCGCCTCCTCTGTTTATTAACATTCTCTAATAAAACTATGTTATTGTATACGTATTTCTCGAATTCGGCTATCATGCACAATGTAAACAATTTGAATGTCAATGTAAACAAAATCACATTCACAAAATCAGCTGTTAAACTCATTTTGCCTAAAATTTATTTCCAGATTAATTAAAATAAACTACCATAATGAGTTCAATTAATTATGTTTAAAATAAGGAAAATAAAATATAACACTCGTGGATGTAGCCGGCAGATGCATTGCACTGGATACATTAATGCCCGGTTTC